ATGATGCTGTTTGATTGTTGGAGTTCGCTATCACTCATCTTCCTTGCAATTTGGTATCGGAGCTGTGGTACGATTGCGCTCATCTGGCGCTTGTCTTCTACCTTATGCGGTACATACATGCGGTCTGCTGGGAGAGTTTGGCCATAAGTGGTGTGTAGTGAGGAGGGTGGAGACGAGTGTGAAGGCGACCCGGGTGGTGAGGGGCATCGCCTGGAAGGCTAAGGTGTAAATGTTGGGTGTTCGCAGTGTGATGAGAACTATCTGTTGGGTGATTGAGGCTGAGGTGGAACGGCGAAATGCTGGTTGTGCCAATGCTGTGACTGGTCATCGCACTCATCTTCAGGTCATCTTGTGAGATTATCTCTGTGGTTGGGGGCAGCATGCACGAGGTACGTTGCTCTTAACCTTATCTGCCCTCTTCATCACTTCTTACTGTGAGGCTGTGAGTTCTGTCTTGAGAGTCCTCTCATTGTGAGGTGTCGAGTGCGCTCAACCTTGAGAGTCGTGATTGTTCACGTGGAGTATCTTGGGAGAAGACGGGCGAAGCTTCTTGAAGGGCCCTGGACGAAGCACTGGGTCACGGTCACCATGCCAACCCACTGGGTGTAGTACACGCATGCTTCGCTGCAAGTCATTGGTTCTGCTGCTTGCGCATGATAGGGGGTTAACTCGAGTATGGCAGCCTCTACAGACGCTTACCAGACCGTCTATAMACATTTCTGGCTGGGKACTCGGCTCTGATCTGGYTGTGATCGTCGTCCTGCTGCGACGTAAAATAATTCCTGATGTCACTTGGGGGCGGACGTTAAATTGCCTCTTGATCAGCCAGATCATCCGAGTGGAAGGCTCGTCGGCGTRCRAGGGTAAATAAGAGTGTTGTGGCTGCCTTGCTCGACGATAACCCGGGGCACAGGGGTGAGACCGGATTGCACACCTTTGAGACACGCTTGGCTTCTAATGCGAAGAAACGTGACACCGTGACTTTGAGAAGAACAAAGGGAGGGGTAGGTTCCAGGTGATAAGTTCGGGTTTTAATTCCATGCTATGAACAGACCCAGTCAGTCAACATTATTTTTATTTTTGATTAGTTAGATGGACAGCCATGTGACATCTGACAGACAGCATTAGTTTAGAATATTGTTTATTCCTGATGCTTCCTCTGTTTGAGAACTAATCTTACTAAAAATAGTATTGACAGTAGGAATCTGACTTACCTGTTGACCCCAAATGAGATCTGCTCCAAAAATAGCCACCACTAAATAGTTGGTCTGTGCACTAAGCTGCGGTAGGCATCTAGAATGATCTAGTGTAGACATTGCACAATGTTGTAGTCCATGAGCGACACAGGGGACACCGGAGAGGACGACCGCAGGATCTTGCGATCTGCCAGAGGCCCGTTAACTCACGTGTCCCTAGGACCGGAGGGTGATAGGGAACTGTTCCGCCGGCAGAGGGAGAGGAGAGCTAGAGCAGCCGAGGCCAGCAGGACCTTAATTGGTGAGGCTGGTGCTACAGCAGCCATGGCTACAACAGCCATGAGCACGTCTGCGCAGCAGACTTCTCAAGCCGGTAGCTCAGGTACCGTCGGGTCCACGCTCGCACAGACCGTGAGTCAGTCTATTGGTTTAATGGCAAGCCAGCCCGCGGTGTTGACCCCGAAGGATGTCGCCATCCAGCAGGCAGCCCTGCAGGAGGCACAACTACAACAGGCATTTGGAAAGATAAAAAGGGAGAAAGAAGACACTGCCTCCTAACTGGAAGGCGAAGGGTCGCTTAATGTTTGTCGACAACGATGGTTCAACCATCGAGTTGGACGGCAACCTCCAGGAGGGAGTAGGTTCAGAGGCAGGCAGCTTAGACGCTTCAGAGGGTGGAGTGGTCGCTGCTGTAGTGCAAAAAGGTAAAGGGACCGGTCAACGCCCTAGGGGATCCCGGTCGAAGAGTCAAACAGACCCCAACGCTCCTCCATGGGAGAAAGCGGGTCTATCAGAGGACGTGTGGAGAGATCGGTGGGCCCGGCAAACTTGTATCAAGTGTGGACAGTATGGCCATAGCATGTACAAGTGCCGAAACAGGAAGGTCACCGAGAAGATCCCGCCTACAATGGGGCCGGCGGTAGGATCCTCCACTCCCGTTGGTAGCAATGTTGCCAGTTCTTCAGGCACCGCTCCGGGAAACACATCGGGCCAGTAGGAATAGTAGTTGCTCCTACTAGGGTTGCGGTGGTGGATACACCCTCGCCTTCGCGAGAGATGGCCCAAGCTACTGACTCTTCAGTCGTCCCGCAAGCACATTCAGACCCATCGACCCTCTGTTCGATGAATGTGTTTGAGTCCTTAGAGGAGCTAGAGGTGGAGTGGTCTAGATTCGACCCGCTAGCTTCTTGGACGACCTTAGTCAAAGCTCCTAAGGGTGAGATGTTCGTCAGCGAGGTTGTTATTGGCGGCCGCAAGGCCGGGGCCTATTATGACACTTGCTCGACACRRAACTTTATTAGTCKCGCGTGCGTTGAGAGACTGCGCTTACAGGGGCGAGTGCAGCGCCTGAGTCGACCTGTGGAGTCGACCTGTGCCAACAAACAGCGCATGGTAGTTAACGACTACCTCCAGGATGTAGAGTGAAGTTTCCAGTACGCGGGAGGGGACTTGAGGCATCGTGTCTCGTTCCTAGTGAGTGATGAACTCCCCATGGACATGTTGTTAGGTATGTATTACCTCTCTGTGGCACAGCGCCAGTTTGACTGGGACCGAAAAGTGGTCAAACACACTTTGCCAGGTGGAGGGACCGCCAGATTACATAAGTTCAAAGCTAGTAGTCTGATTGAGTCCTACGGGTGCATGTGTGCGGCCGCGTTCTACAATTATTATAAGCAAAATCAGGAGGAGGGTATGTACTTAGTTTATGTCTCTGCTGCAGGCGAGCCGGTGAAAATGCCGCCGGAGATAGAGGGAGTAGTTGCCAAGTACCCTGATCTATTTGAAGAGCCAACAGGGGTTGTTAATAGGGAGGTCGTCCACGCGATAGAGATTATCCCAGGGTCTAGTTTTCCGAAGGGTAGGATCTATCGGATGTCTCCAGACGAGTTTGATGAACTTTGCCGCCAACTCAAGGAACTCGTAGAGAAGGGTTGGATCCGGCCGAGTGTCTCTCCTTACGGATCTCCAGTATTATTCGTACCTAAGAAGAAGGAGGGCACTCTCAGGATGTGCATTGACTATAGGGGCCTCAATGCCATCACTGTGAACAACAGAGATCCCCTACCGCGCATCGACAATCTGTTAGATAGAGTGCAAGGGTGCCGGTACTTCAGCAAGATAGATCTGAAGTCCGGGTACCATCAGATTGCAATTCGGCCCGAGGATCAACACAAAACCGCTTTTCAGACCAGGTACGGTCTGTACGAGTTTGTGGTGATGCCTTTTGGCCTTGGCAATGCTCCTGGCACGTTTCAGCACGCTATGAATCGGATATTCCATGACTACTTGGATAAGTTTGTCATCGTGTACCTCGATGATATACTTATTTTTAGTAAGACTGTCAAGGAGCACGTTGCACATTTGGACAAAGTCCTCAGTCTCCTGCGACAGCACAAGTTCAAGATCAACGGTGAGAAGTGTGAATTTGGCCGCACCCGTGTCTTGTACTTGGGTCATGAGATCTCCGCGGAAGGGTTGAAGCCCGATGACGCGAAGGTAGCCAGCATTTGCGATTGGCCACGTCCTCAGTCTGTGACTGAGATGAGATCTTTCTTAGGAATGACAGGCTATTATAGAACTTTCGTGAAGAACTATAGCCAATACGGCATTGGCGCTGTGCTCGCGCAGCAGGAGGGGCCAAAGTTGAGGCCAGTTGAGTACATGTCTAAGAAAATGCCGTCTCAGAAGTTGGCTAAGTCCACTTATGAGAAGGAACTCTATGCGGTGTACAAGGCTCTYACCCATTGGAGACAYTATCTCCTTGGGAGGTTCTTCATYCTCAGGACTGATCATCAGACCCTGAAATGGATGAGAACCCAGCCGGTACTCTCTGACGCTCTCAAGCGTTGGATCGAAGTCATTGAGCAATATGACTTTGACCCTCAGTATCTCAAAGGGGAGTATAACAAGGTTGTTGACGCCCTGTCGCGCAGACCAGACTTCCCAGGTGCGCTGATTACTGAGTTCAGTCTTACGGACAATGTTACTCAATCTTTGGTGGAAGCCTATCGCGAGGACCAGTTTATGTCTGAGATCATATGCAGACTTGAGGCGAAGGACAAGAAGACGTCCGCCGAGTTTGAGTTGGTTAATGGCTTGTTGTTCCTTGAGAAGGCAGGGAATAAACGATTGTGTGTTCCCAATAGTGAGTCTTTGCGTAGTTTGTTTCTAGGTGAAAGTCATGATGCCACCGGTCATTTYGGGTATAAGAAKWCCRCARCCAACTTGCTGCAGCGATTCTGGTKGCCCACGATGATGCGAGATGCACAGCTGTACGTGGAGACTTGTCAAGTTTGTCAACGGGACAAGCCCCGTACTCAGGCTCCTCTTGGGCTGCTTAAGCCCCTTCCGATTCCGGAAAGGCCGGGTGAAAGCTTGTCCATGGACTTCATGGATACGCTGGTCACCAGCAAGAGTGGGATGAGGCAGATCTTCGTCATTGTGGACAGGTTTAGTAAGTATGCTAGGTTAATTGCCATGCCGGAGACAGCGAAGACCGAGTATGTAATCAGGCTGTTCAAAGAGAACTGGGTGAGGAATTTTGGATTGCCTAAGTCTATTGTAACTGACAGGGATGTCAGATTTACAAGTGAGTTATGGAAGGCCGCTGCAGCTGAACAGGGAACTCAACTGCAAATGACTTATGGAAACCATCCAAAAGCAAACGGCCAAGCTGAACAGATGAACCGTGCTGTTGAACACCTGTTGAGGCATTACATTAAGCCCAACCAGGTGGACTGGGACGAGAAGCTTGGCTCTTGTCGCCAATCTGTATAATAACGTTGTACACAGCGCTACCGGGGTAAGTCCTAACAGTCTACATCTTACCTTTAGTCCTCGACTGCCTTTAGACTTTCGACTTCCTGACAACCAGCCAACTGTTGCACCGGGCACTTTGGAGTTCGCTTATCGTTACGAACAGAAAATGCAGGAGGCTGTAGAGCACATGCAGAAGGCGCAGGAAGCAATGATAGAATCTGAGAATAAACACCGCCGCCCTTCTACATTTCAGGTTGGGGACAGAGTCTGGGTCAAGTCTTCAGAACTGGGACAGGAGTTCGGGATATCCCGCAAACTCATGCCTCAGTACTTTGGACCTTGGGAAGTTTTAGAAGTAGTAGGGACAGATCCTGATGGTCCATCTTATGTCATCCGTATCCCTGGTCATCTCAGAACTCACCCTGTCTTTCACGCCTCTAAGCTCGCTGCGTTTGRGGAAACTGATCAGTTTCCCTCTCGTCGTTCGATGCTGCCCCCAACCATGGACGGAGAGGTCGACATTGACGATATCGTCGACCACAGAGAAATGCCTGTACAGAAGCCTCCAGGAAGGGGACGTCCTCCAAAGCCAAAGCTGCAGTTCCGTGTCCACTTCAGACATCATACAGATCCGAAGGAGGACCGCTGGTTTACTCGGGAGGAATTGATGCAGACCACTCCTCAAATCGTTGCCCGCTATGAGAGGGATGTATTGAAAGGAAAGCGCCAGATGGCGGCAGATTGATCTTCTCAGAGGACTAAAGAAGATATGGAGGAGGGAATGCGAGGCTACGCCCGCTTAGCCCCTACGGGCCCTTATTTGCAGCAAGGTCGGCCGCCCTAAGTGAAGGCAGGCACGACAGGCCCTCAGGGCCTCGATTTTCAGGGTACCCCGCAACTGGGGAAATTCAGGCAGTTGCGCAGCGCCAGTTGGTTGAATGAACTCAGGCCCTGGGCCGCCTGTGTGAATGAATGTAAAGCAGGCCCTGGGCTGGATACGGGTACCGGGCCAAGCACCTGTCTCTTATACACATCTAGATGTGTATAAGAGACAGATATAGGGAAGGGCCTGCCTCCTCATTCGGCATTCGGGTGCTGGCTGCATGCTGCGCTATTTACTGGCTGGCGCCTACGCTCTCACGGGCGAGTAGGGAAGGAGCACACAGCCATAGCCAAGCTGCGCTGCTGTATGCTGGGTGAAGCGCAGGGTGGTCCTTGGGTGCTAGTGGCATCTGTGAGTTGGGGAACGAGGTTGTGAGGGTAGCGCAAGACATACCTGGTGCTGAAGCGTGTGACATTGGTCGCCATATGCTCGTACTTCGGGAACGCTGTTGATGTCATCATTCTGCTTCGTAGTATAGGCTAGATAGGATCTGCCACATGTAGTCTGGGCGCCGAGCGCCAATAGGATATCAACTCTGGTTCTTCGCTGATGATGATGGGACTACTTCAGCATTGTCAATGATGAACTCTTGGTGTGTTCTTATTTGGTGTATCTCGTGATGCAATTCTGCGTTTGGTTCGAGGTCAAGACTATCTGGACTCGTATGTATGATGCTGTTTGATTGTTGGAGTTCGCTATCATTCATCTTCCTTGCAGCAGTATCAATTTTTTATTGACTTCAACCTCCGCATCAAATTTTGGTTGATGTCAACCGCTATGTGGTTTGGTTGATGTCAACCGCTATGTCGAAATTTTGTTGATGTCACATGTGCCACGTCAGGGCCAACCGCCACTCCTGCACCAGATGTTATGAGACAGCATCCACGTGTGCTCACTCACACTTGCAAATTCAAGATGGCAGGTCAAACGCAATTCCACACTGGATCTCAAATGAAACTTCCACGAAACTTAGAAATCCGCAAAGCTCTGTCACTCGCTATACAAAGATGTCCATCAGAGTTCAACACAAGTCTTCACGTGATAGTGACTCTGCCCATAACCGGGATGCCTCCCATGTCCTCAAGGATCCGGCCAGCCACTGCACATCAGTGCGCTGGCATGGTGGTCCCTCGTCAACACTACTGCTCCCTCCCTCTCTCACTTACAGCATAGCAAGCATACATGCACACAACAGTACACATGCACACACTTCACACACACTGCTATGGGCCCCACACATAGTATTTCCTTGCACGGCAGCTATGGCTGCTTTTTCTCCTTCTTTCCATGGGTCAAATACGCCTGCCCTTGTTGCCGACGAATGCCCTCCACCTTCAATACTGCAGAATGACGATTCAGCTTCCACACAAGACTTTTGTTACTTGGCCTTGAGTACTGGTACCATTCTGGCCTGGCCTGGGCTGTCCCCTGCAACCTGCTGGACGCACTACCTCTATTGACAGCCTACGACTGGTACTAACGGCTTTGCTTTGAGTTTGTGCAGGTGCAGGTCGTGGGATCAAGACTCAACAAAGCACAAAATGGCTAATCTCTATAGAACACCCCCAGGTAAGGTTCCAGGTTTGAAACTCTGCATGTGCAGTCAACAGGAAACGCATAGGTTAGGGTCTGGGATATCGAATCCCAGCAGGCAATGAACGTGAATCCTTTCACAGAAGTTAAACAAGTGAGACCTTGCCCCACAAGTTTCCATCATCTTGAAGACTGTGTCTGTAGCCTGCGGCACAAAACAAAGACTCATGGGCGCAAGAAGATCATGATGAAGGAGGTGGAGAGGGGAGAAAGTGGGGCAAAGGTATAGGTGCCACCTCCTGAACATGTCCCACAGCTGATTGGTAAGTTGCCTAGCCCTAAGCAGGCTCCACCCACTGGTAAAACCTCACGCCACCTGCACTGGGTGTCCGACGATGGCCGTCGGGACAATTGGATTCTGCAACAATTTTTTTAAGAAAGTGAATAGGCAAGGTTTGGAAAATAACAACACAAAGGTTGAGTTTGGTTGTGATAGGGTGTGAAGAAGTGTTTAAAAAAAAGAAAAAAAAGAAAAAAAAAAAGGTGTGAAGAAGTGTTGGATGTAGTCACCTGAAGCATTCGGCCTTCAATGACATCCCAAGGATTGTTCTCGTTGTCTGGGTCATGCATAAACTGACGGGAAGAAAAACAATAAAAACGCACAAAAATAAAATCAGATGAAACAAACTGAGATAGTGCCTATGAATCTATGCATAGGTTGCCTGCGTTCATTCGTGCGCCTACGATTGGATCGCATCCATTCACATAACAGTAGTACAATATGATATAGTACAAAAGAAGTCTACATCTGACATAAAAAGATTACAAAGCATACATCTGACGTAAATTCCTTCTTGCTGAAACTGCATGCCTGCAAGCAATGTGTTCAATGAATTACTGGACTTGACAGCGAGGTCAGGCACACGCCTGATACCAGCTAAACCAGCAGCCAAAAGAAACTGACTCGCTACCACAACTTCACAAGCAATACGGTCAATACCCTTGGACACCTCTCCCTCCCTAGCTGGTACCTAAATGTGAAACAGTTTTCACCTTTGGCAGTAGCCGATGCAGATCCCAGGGGTCGATCCCTTGACCTCAGCTTACCTGTGTACAGTATCTGCACAGTTCCCTGGAGTTGAACCCGTGACCTGCACGATAGCCAGTGGTAAGTAGGTCGTCGTAGGTTGTAGGCTGTAGGAAGATTCGAACTGTAGACCTGTAAGGTAGGAGTCCAAGTAGAGTCCAGAGGCCTAGCTGTAGTCCTTCTAGAAGGTCGGCAAGTGGTCAAGTGGTGAGTCTAAGGTAGGCCCACGTTTTCAGACGAAGACAAGTGGCAAGGTCAACAGGTAGGACCTCAGTGCAACTGCACTGAGTCGACGGTACGACTGCCTACAGTCAGCAGAAGGGTCTAGAGAGTCCCAGTCCAGTCCAGCAAGTACCACAGGGGGACTGTGAGCACCAAGGGCTGATGGCAAAGGGCAGACCAACGAGTTTCTGAAGTATAAATCAAGAGGCAGCGCCCAGCCATTCATTCATTCCTGCGTGAGCCATGCGGAAGTGCTGCCACAGCGACTTGTGCAAGGAGGTCTACAGATGAGCCCGGAGGACGCAGTGGGCAAGAGAGGAGGAGTTAGCATAGCGATAGGTTAGAGGCAGCCATAGCTGCCATAGCTGTAGTTAGTAGTGAGTGTGTGTGTGTGCTCGAGTGTTAGAGTGATGCGTGTGGGATATCCAGGGTGATCCAGTGTATGTGAACAGTGAGATGTTTGGGCGCTGAAGTCGCCATAGCCAATTGAGAGTGAACTCGTATCTGAAAGCCATATCTCTGAGTTTTGAGTGGGCGCATGTCGCCAGTATACTGCGTTGCTGTTTACATGCATGAAAAGTGTGTTTGAGAACGAGTCTGATTGGAAATGGTGGTATGCACACAAAAATGTTCACAAAAGATATCAAGAGGTTCACATGTTTTGAATCAAAGGCAACCAAGCGTAAGCCAGCAGTGTTTTAGTGGAAGTTCTGCTTTGCTTCCATCAGCTTGAGTGTTTAGTACTGTTTACTCATCTTCCATGTGTGAAGCTTTGAGGTTGCATGCCTCGCAAGCCTCACATAAACCAATACTGCTTTTGAATGTAAAATGCTAGGTGCTACATTGTTCAAGAAAGAGGGGAATGTAGTAAAATACTAAATAGTAACCTCTCACAGCCCGCGACTCACAGTACAGAGTGAACTGAAACTGAAATGAAACAAGAAAAAAAGAAGAAAACAGACGTAAACTAATACCCACGTACAGGATTATTCAGTCAAATTGGGCTATAGGCTATTCCTCAGAACCAAAGATCCGGACCCCATAATCAGGAGCAGGTGGTCCAAACTAACGGGTCAAGACGCCAGCCACATCCCACAAATCCCGTGGAAAAAATTTAAGTCAATCAGACCAATAAAAATTAGAAGCCTCCAATGGCTAATTGCATACGTGGCCTTACCGGTTAATCAATGCTTGCACATCCGAAGACACAAGAACGATCCCAACAGCTCAAACCTATGTTCAGTTTGTACGGATAATGAACCTGAAGACATGCTCCATTGTCTAGTATGCTGCAAAGAGGCAACAGAATACTGGGCAAGGGAATCAGCCCTCTGGGACTCCTTATTCTCATCTCCCCTCCCCGAGCATCCCCTCCAACTTCTCCTGTGGACTAGCATCCCCACCCAGCTGAACAACACAGAGAGGATCTGGTTCGGAATGATCAGGAAAGCGACACTGTGGATCATCTGGAAGGAAAGGTGCGGCAAGACCATTGAAGGTACATCAAATTCGAGGGAAAAAGTCTGGGCGGAAACTAAGGACTTAATCCAAGCGGAGATTCTATGCAAGTGGCACAAGGCAAAACTCTCCCTAACAGACGACGACGAGCAACAGCGGGCAGCACTTCTAAAGTTCACTAATACTTGGCTGGTTGAAGGAAAAGTTGCTGAGATAAAGACTTCTTATCTACGATGGAAGGAATGGCACAACTCGTGAAGGGTTAGGAGAGGTTCAGGATACCCCACAACAGATAGAGAGGAATAGGGAGGAAAAGATATTTGGGTAAGGGCTGAAGCTGGAAGAGTGGCACGATTCGGTCAAGTTTGTTAGGCCAGGCGACCTTTTGGTACACAAAGATCCGTTTCCCAGATGAACACCTGCGAGATACTAATTCCCGGAAGGGGTTCCCAACATCAGACATCGCTGGAAGGCATAACCACTTCTGAGGCCGCAAGGGGATAAATACAATCTTCAAGCGACCCAGGGGGTACAGACAACGTGGGGTTAAGGAGGATAAGTTGGGGATGATGACAATACTGGAACATGAATGGGGGCTGGGTAAGGGCTAAAGCTGGAAGAGTGGCACGATTCTGTCAAGTTTGTTAGGTCAGGCGACCTTTTGGTACACAAAGATTCGTTTCCCAGATGAACACCTGCGAGGTACTAATTCCGGGAAGGGGTTCCCAACATCAGACATCGCTGGAAGGCATAACCACATCTGAGGCCGCAAGGGGATAAGTACAATCTTCAAGAGACCCAGGGGGTTCAGACAACGTGGGGTTAAGGAGGATAAGTTGGGGATGATGACAATACTGGAACATGAATGGGGGCTGCAGAGGAAGATCCTACCTCAGGGATCCGAAAGCTGACGAATACCCTGCCAGGTTCTAATTTTGATGATCGGAAATTAGGAGGGTAGGCTGAGGGTTTAGGGCTTAAGGATAAACGGTTGTCCATCCAAAGGGGGGCAAAGATGTGTACGGGGAGATTTTAGGTTAGGTAAGGATAACAAATGCGCTCTTTTTAGGGTCAAAGGCTTTATTTGACAGATCTGGAATCCCGGTCTGAGAGGAAAAGAGAAGGAAACGGCAAGCTGACAGTCAATCCTCCCGCGGTGGAGTAATCAATGCTGCCCAGGGGTCCTTCGGCCTGACGGAAGGAAGCGTGTGTGAGTGATCAATGATGTAATGTGAAACTTGACTTGCCGGTGGAATAGGAACCGGACTGACGCTCCCCAGAATAGAAGGAGCCAGGACCATACGGCCCTGTTTGTTAAAAAAAAAA